GTATATACGTGTGTATGTGTGGGGGTATCACAATAAAAAGCTTGGCTCCAAGGTGGATAATGCTGTGATTATCCACTCATAAATGCGCTCGACTAGCAGGGTAGATTGAAAGATTGCCTCAAACAGACAACCTTTGTTTTTTTTGTTTGCGTTTTTTTTAATCCTCGAGGGATTTTCTAAGGTCATCTAAGCTTGGCTGGATTCTGTCAAAGTCACATGTGTCTACTGTGGCCTTGCATTTGTATGATACAGATGCCTTTTTTCATTTCTTCAGGCCTCTCAGGGATGTAGGTTTAAGACTGTCTGCTTTCATGGTTACAGGGTGAGAAATCCTGCTCAATGTCCTTTAGTTAAAAGCTTGTTAAATGCCAGCTGATGGTTAGAAGTACATTGTGAATGCTGCGATCAATGCTAAGCCTTTATATTGTTGGAACAACAGCGATTTATGTTGCTTTGTGGACCTAATGAGGAACAGGGACAAATCCAAACATAAAGAGGGTTTGTCATGAGTGAATCTAGGGTGGAGGTTGTACAACAGCAACATGGTCAATTTGATACAAACAGTAGATCAATGGTTTCCAGCAGAGTTGAGGGCATTGATCAGTAAAAATACTGAGAGCTGCCCTCTGTTTCCAGCGTGCGTTTGTTCTGCACATCTATTTTTAGAAAGCCTATGGCAGCAAATAAAGGCATGTTATCAAGGACCTATTCAATGTTAGAAAATAAAGTGACCTCAAGGTCAGCACACAATAAGTGGATACTTGGAAATGTTCTGGTCTTTTTTTCTTTTTACTTTGGAACTCTGTTATCGCTCACATCCCTGATAAAAGGTTTGCATTTCTTCAGAGAGGTTTTTCCCTTTAGAGGATTTATGACAATTTGCTTCTATTTAGATAAATACATGAAACAGACAAAGTTGAATGGGCTGTCTAAATGCATTACAAATCTGCATTGCTCATCTTTGTTGGGAATGTTTGAAGATTCAATTCAAAACATGTCTAAATTTGAAATGCTTTTCGTGTTATTTGATCCAACCTGTTAAGTGCAACCTATATCACCCTGTAACTCCAACAGGAAATTCCACAGGATGCCAGACAGAGTAACCCAATAAAAGCAAGAGCGCCAAAATCATTAGTGAGGAAACACGCTCACATAACTCTCCCAGATGTACAGACTAATTGTATTTTACCATCAAATCAACAGTTGTAGAGCCTTTGAGCTTTTACGAGTCCTAACCATAAGGTAAAGGAAAAGAGCTGCTTGAAGTGACACCACTTCAGCTGTAGCTCTCAGTGGTTGGAATGACTGACTTTTGGATGCAGATTCTGCATGCAGAGCTTCATGATAGGAATTGATCTAAGATCTCCACCACAGTTATGGACGGTGACTCATGGGGGGCTGATGTAAGTAAGATGGCGAGTGCTGAGGTAATTGGTGTGGAGAAGTAATTTCCCTCCTGGACCAGGGCTGCCCTCAGAGCTGTGACTTCCCACTGAAGAGACAAAACTCAGGGGATAGAGTGGTGAGGCTTAGCAGCATGGCAACTTGTGGAGAGCTGCCGTGAGTATGTTCTCATTCTCTTGGGAATATACAGAGAAATCAGCACCTGACGATGATAACATCCGCCAGAGTCCTCCCAAGGTGGCATGATGAAATGCACTTCATTATGTGCAGAGGGACAAGCAAGTTTGAAGTTCAGAGAGCCCGAACAACAACACACGGCTGACTCATCCCCTCCCACGCACGGGAGAGGAACAACTTTTGAGAGCAACAAAACACTTTCCAGCCAAATCAAATTAGATAGAAGGAGTGGCCTTTGTCCACCTCTTGTATCTGTTGCAACACTTAGGCTCTCCTCCACTCCCCTCCTTCTGCAGTCGGCCTCCCTGCTGGGTTTCATCATGCACAGTGTGTCACAAGGCAGCAGTGCTATGGTGATTAAGCCGGAGAACTTTGGGAGTTTATTTGGAACTAGTACAGTAATTGTGGTGTCAGTAGGCTCACTTCGCAGGAAAAAACAAACCTCCACTTTCTCAAAATAGCCCTGGGGGGTTGAAGCACCATAGTGGAGACTATCTGTGTTAAACTTCTATCAGTTTGAAGTTGTTTTAACAGAACAACATTCTCATTTTGGCAATTTAATAGCTTCACATGTTAAAAAGGCTGTTGTTGTCATGATGCTTCAGCTGCACGTTGGCGCTTTGTTTAGAATAATATGCAGCATATACACACAGCCTGACAGAGTGTGTGTTTGATATGAGGGAGGTGACAGACAGTGAAGCACTGGACCTGGAGTGCAGAGCAGCGTGGCTCTCCAGCAGTGACGCTGACGTTCAATGCTTTAATAGGACTAAAGTAGACAAAGGCCGCCAGTGACGCAGTAGGAGCTATAATGGGCTTGCCACATTGCAGGTTTACTGGACCCTGCTTATTGGGCTGAGTTATTTCCAATCCCACAATCCCTCATCAGCCTCAGGAAGCTAGTTATAAATAAAAAGTGTAGGTTAATCACAGCTAAGAGAAATGTCGGTTTAAGATTTTCAGGAACCTATATAGTCAAAGTAGGGCATGACTGGGGCTTTTCAAGAACACAAGAACATAGAACATACATATTGTGGGGGAACACATTTTACCTGTAAATTTAGTGAGAATGCTTTTTCTTCAAGTAAAAAAAAAAAAAAACACAAATCTATTCAGTCAGCGTAATAAAATATATCTTACATCATCAACTTTAAGTGACAAAAATAATCTCTTGGCCACACAGAAAAAAACACAGGAACTTTGTGACCTTAACTTAGGCATTTGGTCAGCATGCAGACAAAGTCTAACTGCTGTGCAATCAGAAAAATAGATCCCTTTGTCATGGTAATTGTCATTCATGTGACAGTAGTTCTTCTTGTGAGCGATTATGCCTCTGCCTATGATGAGACGAGCCTACGGGGTCGGATTTGCCTGCTCTGACAGATACTGTGACAGATGGGGCCCTGGGTCTTTAGCCGTCGTTGCCTTGGACTTGAGGGCCTGTTACCACTCACACCATCCAATCCAACTTGAGATTAATTCATAAAGATCATTGGCTTGTGAAATTTAGTTAGCTGTGATGTTCACCCTTGTGTTCATCATTTTACAATGATACATTTGATGTTTTTTTCACAATGCACTGTTGCATTTTTTCGCATTTGTGTTCGTTCTGAGTTTTCTTTTCAATCAACAGGTATGCAAGAAGTAAAGATATATGTGCGTGCAGACACTGTGAGTCATAATTACTGCTGTCACACAACACATATGTGTACATTAGCCCCAGTTGTTTTGTGTCTGGGGCGAGCCTGCAAGCTGTGTGTTTCCCTCTCAGCTTCTTGGTTGTGCTGTGATAAAAGGTTCGAGGGGTTAAATGTTTGTCCAGCTGAAACAACACAGTAAAACTCCTTCTCTGTGTCTCTGAAGCTCAGTCGTCAGAGCTCAGGACCTAAAAATAGCTGTGCTGGCTCCACGCCCCTGGCAGGGGGACAGGTCAAATTATGAAGGAAGATGAAAAATTTAAAGGCACAGGCTACTTGGCCACAAACCCAGCCCCACATCAGTGGTCAGATAGAACATTTGACTTGGCTTTTATGGGATGGAGTCAGATTGTATTAACTATGGACGATGGTCTTGTGATATTAATTGAAAGGGCTTTGCTATAATGCGATTTGGAGCCAAGAAGATTTCAAGTGTTATGTCTGTTTAAGTACATGTTACTGTATTGTTTGTATTCTCTCAAATCCACCATTAGACATTATCAGGGTTATTCTAGGGGATTAGGATTCCTTGTCCTGAAGAGGTGATCTTGACACAGTTTGAGAGGTTTATGTAATTACAATCTTGCTGTAATGCCATACAGTTGGCTACCTCTGTGAGCTGAAAGCATGCTTTCTGAGAAGCGGTCCTGCTCTGGATCCACACTGAACCTCGTGCTTAATCTGAACTAATGCAGCGAGGTTACACTCCGCATCTTAAATGAACACTGTGCTCATTTAGCGTCTCGCTTGTCTTAACACATCCTGTTGGGTTTTTGTCACACAAATCGGCTTCCGCTTAAACGCTGCTGGCCCAGTATTCAGATGTGTTTCTTCAGATCGCTGTGAAATTTTCCACCTTTTTCCACCCCGAAAAAAAATCAATGTGTTTGTGAATCACAAAACGCACGGAAACAAAACTACTGACATAACATGCGATGCTGTGCCTCTTTTAGGAACGTCAAGGTTGGAGGGGTTGAATCCATCCACATACCTGAGAGAACAAAATGAAGACATAAATAGAGTTTGAAAGAGTGGTTCAACAAATCAGAAAAGAGACGTAGAGAGAGGAATCAAGCCTCCATCTGCAGAGAGGGAGTCAGGAGACATGCCTTCTGGCAGGAGCTGAAGAAGACAGCTGTGTTTGGTGTGGTATTTTTAAACGCATCAATGCTGCTCCAATCCCTGCGCCTTGCCTGACCTATTTTTAGCCAGGGCTGGCCATTGTTCTATTTCTGTCACCTGTGGGCCACGCAGTTGTTGATTCACATGCAAATGAAGCCCGCTCCCTCCCCGGCTTGCATTACTGCCTCTGCGAGGTGCTCGGCACACAGCGCACGGCTCTCCTTGTAACTCAGCCTTTCATTTTTCTCAGCCTCTCTCTGCTCGCACACTTTGCCGGGGGAGAGGAGAGGAGAAGCACAGGCTGAAGAAAAAAGAGGGAGCGAGGCAGATAAGAGAAGGAGCCGGACTTGCTATCTCCCCCCCTCACCACCAACCCCCAAACGCTGTGTTTGTGTGTGGAGCAGACTGAAGCAGGGCGCCGGGAGAGTGCTGGAGCAGCCCTGCAGAGAGGGCGCACTTTGTGTTACTGCTCAACGTTCAGAACAGTCTCCAAGAGGAGGAGGCAGGGGAAGGTACAGAGTTGCCTGTTGTCGCGGTCTCTCCCCTGAGTGGCTGAGGGGTGGCTCTTGGTGACAGGAAACGCAGGGCTTGCGATGAGACCTGAGCGCTGAGTGGAGTATGCTGCAGACGATTTACGAGGGCGAGTCAAGTTTCTCCACAACAGAGGGGCGCGTTGGACACCAGCAGCTCCCAAACCAGAGCAAGATGCACAACATGAACAACTCAGGTGATCTCACAGCCTGGTATTTCTACTCCTCTTGAGGAATCTTTCTAGTCATTTTTCTCCTTTCTGCATTCCAATCTGCCTTTTTCTCTCCCTGAATCTCTTCATACTTTACTCCGAGCTCCTGTACTATGTGCCTCTTGTGCACGCATTCGCTCGGCGTCTCTCTCACTCTCGCGTACTCTCAACTCTTTGCGCTCCTTCTGTGTTAAAAGAGAACTCGTATCTCCTCAGCACAGTAACGTGGTACCGGGCACCTCCTCTGGAATAAAGGTATTTACTCTTGTGATTGCATACGGTGCTTTAAAGCGTCTGTTTTTCATTGGAGTTGTTGAAACAGATGTAAATGTTAAAATTTTAAAAGTGCTTTTTGTCCCTCAGGACTTGAATGAAAAATGTGTGAACCCTGTTCCTTCGCTGAAATGCGTCAATGTGAACATGACAGGAATGTTGAGTTTTGCAAGTTTCCATGTCAGCGTGCACTTTTCAGGGAACAGGAAGGACTGGGACAGAAATACTGAAGATTTCTCTTGACATTTACCACAGACACTAGCTGTTCTATTTTTGACCGGAGAATAGAACTGAAATGTACATGGCTGACATCAGAATGAGTAACAGCTATTCACTGTACTGACTGAAGATGAGTCATACCTTTTAAATGTTTGCTTTGTTTTCTTCTCCCCTTCTGTGCGGGGATTAATCCAACTTTAAACTATATTTAGAAAGGACTGAGTTGAGATGTTGTTCTGTGTCAAAACACTGTCATGTGCATTTCCTGTTAGCACGAATCTTTAAAAATGATTTCTCAACTAAGAATAAATATTAAACCCTTGTGTCGTCACCGTAGTCAGGCCACAACTTTGGAAGTGGCACGATGTGGAAAAAAGTCAGCTGTTGTTGGTACATTTTGGTTTTTATGGCGCTGGTTGTCATCGTTATAAAAATAGTTCAGTTAGGCAAAACAGGTAACGGAAAACACCCAGAGGCAATGGGATGAGATTAAAGAGCACCACAGATGACAGAGCGATGACACACCATGACTGTCAATAGAGCAGGTTATTTGCCTGTCAGACCACGGGCGCGGGGGGTTCTGCGTTTGTCTTGCAACTTGTGAACCAAACAAGACATGTAGCGAGTGCATGAATTCAGGCTCCTTGCTTATTCTGTGGGTCAGCTATTCTTAGGTGAGTTATTTTGAGCTTATGGTATTAGCCTGCTAAGATTAGGCGTCTGTGCGTTATCATTCCATCTCGGTATGCTCCTGATATAACAGCGGTTTGGAGCAGATATTTATAGAGAATTCTGTCATTTGCCTGTTTAATTTGTTCCTTCCAGTTTAGAGCGAATCATCTGACTGTGACTAACATTATCTGTCTGAAAATATTACACCATGCCTTTCCATCAGTTTCAGGAGGGAACATGTCAATTTTGGACAAAAGGCACTTTCCCCCTAACACAGAAAAGGAGAAAATACAATTGTGAATGTTTTGATTTTGTCCAGTTGTTTTTATGTTTAGGTTTTTGTGATTTATGTTTTTTATATTAATCTTTAATCCTAAATATGAATGCTGAAGTGTCCCTTTCGACAACTGAATAGATTATCTGTGATTTTTCTAAAGCACACTTCTCGACCTTTAATTTACCACACGTCCCTACTGTTTCATTTCAAGTGGATCAGGAAAAATAAAGGGCACAATCACAATTTCATTTTGATCAGTGTCAGTACCATCAAAGTTCTGAAAAACAAAAGAGGTCCTCAGGTGGGCTCTCAAACAGGCAGAGACTAATGAGTTTACCTCGAGTGAAAAATATCATGCAAATATCAAAAGGGACCTTTCAGACAAGAACAATGATCCTTTTCAAGTCCACTTGTCTCGTGTCCTGTATCTATTGAAGTTGTCTCTCCGTGTGCATTTGAAGTGCTCAGTGCTGATGAGATGACACAAAGCAACGCAGTGCACAGGGGAACTAGTTTCAGTGCTGCCTAAAAGGTTAGTCATTATAGGAATGAGGATTTACCAAAAAGACTGAACGGAAAATGAACAGGGAATTTTGCAAGTATCTAAAAGCACAGTTCACAAATTATTATTTATTTTCCTCTGGCTTGAGGATTTTCTTTAGCAAGCAATTCTGGCAAATGACTCTTGGCGTTGGATACATATTGTGTAGAAAGGGAGGGTCCCGGTAGATCTCAGCAGGAGTTCCCAGTTACGATCATCTGCTGATGGAGACACTCGATATTCTCCCTTAGCTCAGCGCAGGCTGTTTTGTGTGGTTCTGTTTGATTGTAAGGTCCAATGGTTTGAGAATACGGCAGGGCGTGAGGCGAGGGGACTCTTGGCTTCTGTGAACGGCCTGTGTTAGTTCAACTCGGCTCTCTTTGTTAGTAGATAGCCTGCATACCGCAGCTCTGGCTCAGCTGCAAGGACGAGCCCGAGTCTTAAAAATAAAGACCTGTTTCCTGCTTTAGATATACCAGCTGCTCAAAATAACAAGGCACTTAATGAGAGATACAGCGCCACATTGCAGTCCCAAGCATCAGCTTATTTTTTGCCCTCAAACATCTTCAGTATCTCTGTTTCTATTTATACAGACAGACAGGGAATTTAGATCAGCAACCAGCTCTGTTTCAGCTAAATGCTTACATCTTACACAGTTAAAGGTTGTGCACAACAGAAGTCTACTGAAGAACACACAAAAACTCCAGATTTTAAGCTTTTCTAGCTTTATTTTGTTGAACCTAACTTAATTTTAGGGATAAGTGGTGAAAATCTTGCTTCCTCTATTATTTCAAATGCTTGAAACAGATGTGCGTTGTTAAATATTCAGCTAAAGATAGACAGTTAATTTTAGCTATATAAACTTCACATGATAATCACATTTTCAAAATGAACTTTTGTATTACAACATTGATACTTTGCATAATAGTACAGAAGATGTTTCATGTCTGAACACTAGCAGTATCCAACCTTGTGTTTGTATCATTATTTATTAAATGTTAATATTCGCTCTTACCTAACAATGCCTCCAGGTGCAAATATACTAGATAGGTGTAACAACATCAGCACTTTTTACACTGAGTGGGGAATGTTTTCAGTATTAATAACTCACTTCTTTTTAGTGTTACGGCTTATCTGCAATCAGGGAAAAAAAGGATTACTATCCAATGGTCAGGAGAAAAAAACTGGTTCGATTGCAGTTTTAAAACGGAATTTTTTAAGAGGTAAAATGTTTTTATATGTATTGCCGAATCCTCACGTGCAGTAGAAGGCTGGTATCTTGTGATGTGTGCCTCTCTGCCTTGGATGGGAAGTCTACTAATGTGGCCTGGGAAAAAAAAGACAGCTATCCAACATTTCAAATTAAAGCTGTGATTGTCACTCTAACCGTCACCACGGCTAATGAGAGGCAGATCAGTTATAGAAATAAACACTTTGGGGACACTGGCTGTGCGACGCTGCAGTGGGAGTGTGGTCACAGGCTATGAGTCACCCTATCCCCCTTGGCAGGCCCTCCACAGGGAGGAATTTGGGCATGGGGCAGGGTGCTTGTTGCTCCCATCTAAAAACAAATTTAAGACCTGTCATTCATAAATCTCTTGTTTACCAGGGCCTGTAGACACTTCTGTTCACTTTCCTCGACTCAAAAGGCACTGTCACCTTCACGTTTTCTTATTTGGCATCAAAACCAGCAGCAGGGCCGTAGGACTAACTCCCAAAAAGAGGCAGGCTCTTCTTCCAAAAGGACATTTCAAAAAAATTACCAAAAAGTTACGTGACACTGCTTTTATTTTTGCCCGTGTTAAATTGAGCAGACCGTGTGAGTGTTTTGCACATTGTCTATATTAAGACCCTGCTCACAGAAGCACTTTATATTTAGTCTTAGTTACTGGTGGTTCCATATTATTTTCTGCCTAAGTATACTATTCTTATGTTACAGGAACACCTGATCTCAGTTTAGGTAGATTCAGGCTGCATTTCACAGTGATATGTTAACTCTTAGATGGGGAAACATATGCTTAATGTGTTTTGTTTTTGAACAAAGCACAGAGGCATATATTTACCTTTCTTCCTCTTCTACGCCATCAAAGAAAATGGTGTCAGTCATGAAAGAGGAAGCTTTAGATAATACATACTACAGGTACTGTGTCGGGGGCCTTATTGTGTTCCTACATCATTGTCATTCATGTCAGTGCTATTCTTCCAGAGGCACTGGACAGAAATTAGACAAAAATAGAACAGGCACGCAAGGCTGTTGTAGTTTCCTCCAGGGCTTTTTCATACATTCTTGGTTATCACAGGTAGCTAAGGCTTGTAGAATCCTTTACCTCCACCCCCCTTCCCATCAGGCGAAACCAGTTTTCTGATGAAGGCTCAGCTTGACATACTGATCAAAGTGGAGCTCCTTAATGCCAGTCACAGTAAGAATACGGAATGAAATACTAGATTAATTAGATCTCACAGTGGTGAATTCACCTGGCAGTAGGTGTTTTTTCTTTTTTCCCCCCCTCTGAGCTATATTTAGGTCCATTACGCAAAAGTAGCACTAAAGCTCACTTACTTTGTGAACCCTTCAGTGTTTCACAGGTTCATGGCTGCTTCGGGAACAATTCCTGTAACAAAAGGGTCTTTTGTCAAGTACTTACAAGCTAAGATTAATAGTCCCTGTCAGGAAAGGAGTGTCTGTTCCACAGGTGTCTGTTCTCTGCGGCTGCCGTGCTGTTGCCCTCTTCTGTCATTTGATTGAAGCTTTTTTTAGAACAAAGAGAGGAGAATTACAGAACAGGAGTCTCCTTTTGTTGTCTTCCGTTTCTGAACACGTTTCAAGACAACTTATCTCCGTCTTTGATATTTTTTAAACTGAGAATCTGTGTGTGTATTGCAGGGTTTTGTAACGTCTCCTCTCAGTCTGTCTCAATTGGGGACTCCTATCTTATATAAGCGCTGAAAGGCTGATATAATAGTCAACATGTCACACTGCCACTGTAGGCAGGAGATGACATGCAGCGAGACTCGATATCTGCAGAATGGGGAGACATAATTACGTCGCCAGCGTTGCCATGGCACCGGCAAGTTAGGGTGGTGGATACTAGGGTGTGGGGGTTGTCACAGACCAGGATTGCGCCACTTGCTTTTATGTTTCTATTTATAATCATCACCGCCGCATACACATGGAATGGTGGCAATAAAAAACAGGCTACAAGACAAAACAAATGGCCGCCAATGAGCCAAACAGCATCAGTGAACATGAGGGCACTTTGTCTGGGTTGATGCCCCGGCTTTTAGCATGGCCAACTTCTTTTTTATTGCAATTCTGTTGTAATCGGTAAGTATCAAGGCATACCCAAACCATTTCATTATTTCTTATATCATTATGTGAACATGTGAAGTGTAATAACGTATTTCGCCCCCATGCTTCCTGAAAAACAGGTGGTGTGGTAACACTGCTGATATTTGTTCTCTCAAATGTGACCCCTGAGAAGATTAAGGCAATGAATGCACTCAATAAATCTCCCTCCAGCCACCGGAATTTTAAGTAGATTTGAAAATGAGTCTGGCCTCACAACGGAAGCAACATTATGCAGTCTGGACGGTGGCATATTCTCATCTGAATGCCACATCATATTCAGCTTCCTTTTTGGAAGATTTCAATTTAATCCAATCGCAGCTGAAATGCAAGCCTATATATTCTTCTTCCCTTATGCTGTAGAGGTTGTTTAAAGATGTTATTAGTTTAGAAAATGGAGCCTACTGAATTAAAACAAAGAAATAGGATAGAGAGGAAGAGGAAAATATTGATAATCACAAATCAGTCTTGATGGAATAGACAGCTACGTAACTCTGTCTGCTATGTTTTTAAACTGGCAATCTATTTTCTCTGTGGACCTGGCTAAATATAGAGCATTGAGACCAAAGGGATGCCCTCTCACTTTGAGTTAAACAATTACTTATAGGGACAGCTTCCACCAGTGTGCTCTCTGAAGCATCTGCACTCAAGGACGACGATAGAAAGATCACAGTGACGTGAATTTACAAACTCATGCAAGTTCACAGCCTGCTTTATCTTGAATTATTTATGTGAGGAAAGGATATCTGAACGGTGCTCTGGTACAGACAGGAAAAGGACTCCCTTTATTTATTTATCTGACAGTGGGAAGAGAGATTTCATGTAAATACTTTAAATGATATCTTCAGCGTTTTGTGAGGTTTGTACGGTACACAGCAGGTCCCAGCAGACTGAAATGATGGATGTGTTGCTGTTTGTTTAAAAATGCTATTATAATTGCATACTTCCTACGATCATGGGAGGAAACAATGCGCTTCTTGTTTCTCTACTTTTTCTCCTTTGCAAACTTCACATGAACTCTTTGACTCTGACCATGTTTTGTTTCGAGATGTTATACAACTACATCAGGCCACTTTTGGTTATATGGTTTGAATTAGTAAAGGTGCAATTAGGGACTGACAAATGCAATCCTCCCTTATATTCTCTACAACAGTGGATATTAAGCCAGACGTCCCGTTGGCTGTGGAACCGTTGTCTCCCTTGGACCTGCGCACCGATCTGAGGATGTTGGGGCCAGGCTCAGACCCAGGACTGTGGGAGAGGCAGCTGCAGCAGGAGCTGCTCCTCATTCAAAAACAGCAACAAATCCAGAAGCAGTTACTGATCAGCGAGTTCCAGAAGCAGCATGAGAAGCTGACCCGTCAGCACCAGGCGCAGCTCCAGGAGCATCTCAAGGTTAGCATTGCACAGAACACTAGTATGAAGGTCAGCACAGAACCATTACACACTGGCACAGCACAAAACAACAGAGTGCAACACAGCAGGGCACAGTGCAGACACAGAAGAAAACTGTACACCTCAGGACAGCATCACAAAGTGCAGCAAAAGAGAAACAACTCAGCAAGACTGAATGTTGAGCAGTTCAATCTAGCTCAGCATGAGTTTGTTGTTTTTACTTTGAAGTGCAGAATTGTCCAAAATAGCAAAAAAACAACAAAAAAAACAACAAAGAAAAAATAACTATTGAATTTCTGTGAAGTTAGTACAATTTTTAGAGTTCAATTTATCAGTGTGTTGTCTTCGTGCTGATGTGAGCTCTGTGCTTCCCAGCTCCAGCAGGAGCTGCAGGCCATGAAGCAGCAGCAGGAGCTCGCAGAGAAGGAGCGTCGTTTGGAGCAGCAGCAACAACAGAACCAGCAGGAGAAAGAGCAGGAAAGGCATCGGCGGGAGCAGCACGTCTCCAGCCTGAGCCTCAGGGGCAAGGAGCGCTCCCGAGAGAGTAAGAGCTCAAAACCGTCACCATCTCATTGCTGTCAGGGGCTAAATGTGAAAAAAAATGATGTGCCTCAGGCAAAAGCAAGTATGCCGTTCAACCATTTCAGTAGATTTGCTTTGCATTACTGTGGAAGTGGGGTCTGAGCAGAATATGCATATAACAGCTGAACAGGAGAACTTTGCTCTGGTTGAATGTTACTCAGTATTCCCTGTGGGCCATGAACATATTCTGTTGTCATCATTATTACTATGAAAATAGCCTTCAAGTCATGGGTCAGAGCTGCATTTTGAACATTCTGTGATGTGAATGTCAGACTAGCTCAGCTAAATGTTAGAAAATTGGCACATAGACATACAAATCCCTCTGTCGCTCTCCCTGTAGGTATATAGATATTATTTGTTCAATTTTAGCTGGAGCAATGCAGGCAGCCAGGAGCATGAGTTTCATTCTGCGGTGCTTTCAGCTGCTGATTCTGTATCTGAGATAAGGCTCACATGAACGCAAAGTTGTCTGCAAATGTCTTTAAGACAACAAGAAAAAAAAATCCATTTGTCTTTGATCTGGGAAACAGTCCTTTAAGACCACCCCCTCATCCTTACATGACTAATGGCATTTTCAAGTGGAATACATTTGGAACTGCACTCGAAAGGTTAAAAATTCATGTATTTTAGTCACTGTGTAGGCTAATTTTTATCGCCATTCATAAAAAGGACAAACTGTTCAGATTTCGTATCTCCAGCTGCTGGGGTAAAGATTTCTCAATAACAGCTCAAGCTGTCTTGGGAGCCCAGTGAGAACAAGGCAAATGACAGAGCTGTTGCCCTGGCGTTAGACCTCAGATAAAGAGTATAATGGCGGCGGGAGCCGGATACTTAACCAGCACATGCTGCTGATGACACAAAACTGGCCACTGACATTTAAGCCTTGAATTTATTAGAAAATGTATTTGAATAGCACAATGGAAATAGTATCAGCTATAACATTTCGCTGCTGTTTTTAACCTCATAACTAATTACAGACAAGATTTATATCTTTGTCGTACCAGGTTATTTGAAACTCCTCTCTGCAACCGTAACCGTCTGATGGGAAAGAAGCTCTCTGCAATATGACTTGTGCAAAATCTTAGAAAGAACTGATTGACCACCAGGGGGAGATCTTCTTACATAAGTTAGGCTGTTCAGGTGGAAAAAAGCCACAAAATTAAATCACATGAGATTAAAGAGAAACTAGTAACAGGAAACAATAGTATTACATTTCAGCTGTGAGTTGAAAGTGATAGACAGAAACATTTTTAATAACCAGGTACCTACACGTTAGGGTAACCCCAATCCCTTTGCTTCTGTCTTTTGGTCTCACAGGTGCAGTTGCCAGTACAGAAGTTAAGCAGAAACTCCAAGAGTTTCTGCTGAGCAAATCAGCAAAAGATCCGGTCAGCAATGGAGCAAGTCATTCTTTCATTCACCACCAAAAGCTCTGGTACACGTAAGTATTTTCAGTTTTCTTTTTTGGGAAAGACTTGGATTAAAATGCAAAAAAAAGCAATCAACTTTATTGTGTCTCACTGCTGCCTGAAAGTTGATTGTTTCTTGTGTTATCAGGTCCTCTCATCACACATCATTGGACCAAAGCTCCCCACCTCTGGGCGGCACATCCCCCACCTGCCAGTACACTCTGCCATCACCCATAGAGAGCAAGGACGACTTCCCCTTGAGGAAGACAGGTCTGCTAATTTGCACATGCACACACAGCACAGACATAAAAATGCTAATTCAGACATGTAAACGCTGTGTATAAATCTAACCCATAACAGAGGTTATTTGACAGATTTATGTTCTTTACCCTGAATTGATAATTACTGATAAAACCGGTTTATTAATTCAATGAGTATCTTTTTGACCGTTGTCAGTCAAGCAGTTGGTATACTCATGGAGTATAATTAATGACATCAGTTATGCTCATTACGACTCCTGCCCCCTTCTCTTTCCTCCAGGGCGCAACATACATTTCTCGAGTAGTAGCCCATAAAAGTTAATCCAAACCTTCCATATTTCAATTTGGAATATTCTGAAACATATTAGCTGAACAGTGTTTAATTGCATGGTTTCCCTCAGTAAATAAAGTTTAAAAAAAGAGTAGATAAAAAGTGTCATTCTTCAGAAGGAGCCAAATGTGTCCATGTGATAATTAATCATGCTCCAAACTCTCTTGAAACAGCGCAGAGGTAAAGGGGAGACTTTAAGCAGATTAATTTCTCCTGAGTTATGGACTTTAAAAGCAATTGTGAAAACAAGACACAGGTTCCCACCAAAAAGCAGCTCAGGTTTGTTGGTTTAAAGTTTGAGGAACCCTTCGGGAATGGCTGTGTAAATAGGAATAATTCCTTCCTCTCTTCTTGCACAAGCCTTAAAGCTTGCCAAGGTAAGAAGCTTCATAATTTGGCAATGAGGTCACAAAATTATATTACGTTCCTTCCCTTCCGTGTCCCTTTTAATTACATCTTTAAACAAAATCGAACTTGTTGAATTAGGGAACTACAAACCTGTCATTATGTGTGTATACACAATTTAGAGATCAAGCAGAAGAATTACGTCTTGTTAAATAAAGCCATGACACGACAAGAGCAAATATTTCAAAGCTGAATTAAAGCTTTAGAATAATTTCTATTTGATGTTACATTGATAATCATTGCAACACAATAGGAACAAAATAATGTTTTACATTTCTAGGATATACCTTTTGGCCCCAAAACAAAAAAATAACATTGATTTTGAGGGAGTATTGTTCAGACAATTTCAATAAGACAAAGCACTTTTAAATAAATGTATTTAAAGGTAGGTTTTGAGCTTATGTCCTAAATAGTCTTGCATTCGTGTCTCAATGTCTTAGACTGATAAAACCTTCTCCTACCCTTTGGATTCCTAAATCTATATGTGGCCATTTCCTGCTAAGACCTTCTTCCCCCACTTCCTGTCTGTCTTCATTAAAGTCCTCTGAGTGTTTGGCACGCGAGACACACAAAGGTAGTTTTGTTTCTCGAGCCACTGGCTGTCACCAGTAACTGATTGGCAGGTGTTGCCGACTTAGAATTGGCACAGGCAGGATGAACCTCGACAGGACTGTTTGTTTAAGCAAAGATAGCTCTCTCAAAACAAAGTAGAGGTGACTTGAATGCTCCAAGTCAGACTCCCCGCCGTTTGATTTGGCCTGAATGCTGAGCACATTATTTTCTTGGTTGACTTTTAGTTTTTGTATGATATGTGTAGCAGGTAAAAACTCAGAAAGGGCATCTTTTGAAATGTGAAAATACTGCATTTGTATTTTTCGTAAATTACCTATTGTATTTACCTTTTCCTAAAAATTTCGCTGTTGTCCATTTGAAGTGCAAATTTAAGAAGCTGTAAAAGTGTGTTTTGATCTCTGGTCTAGGGGCTTTAGTTAATGCGGCCATTACACAAACCTGAAAACGGAATATATATCTGTGGCATAAAAAAGTCATTTAAAGAATTTCACATGATTAATGTGTTTACGTGGTCTATATCCTCTTTGTTTCAAGTCCAGGAACTAAAATAGCCTGGACCGAGGGCACACGATAGTCTGTGGCAAGAATAGTTGCGGCTTAGCAGTAAGAAGTGCAACACCCTCCCTGGTCTTGACCCAGTTAACAAACGGGTGCATTTGGAAGGTGTTGGAAAGATTTTCCAAACTTCTATCTATCTATCTATCTATCTATCTATCTATCTATCTATCTATCT